TGAATTCTCCGGCCGAGGCTCCTAAATAAACCATGAGTGTTTAACATCAAAGCTCCAGCTCTCCCCGTGTCTCCTTCATGAGTCGGTGACTCCTCCTGCATTGCTACACGGAAGTTTCCCCCACAATTAGCAAAAAACATTTATCAAGGGAAATGCACTGTGAGTCTGCGAAGGCTTCATTAAAAAAGCCCATGCTTCATTTTTCAAGACTTTAGTGGTTAAATGATAGGAAAGTCATAAAATGGTAGTACATATTGGTCTGGCAGTTAAATGGGAAAGTCCAAGTCCAGAATTGTGTTTATTTTTCGTCTAGTCTACAAGTCAGTGAAGAGGACATGTGGCCAAATGGTGACACTAGGTAAAAGGTCATAGTAACACTAAAGTTAAAGGGGACCTATCATGCAAAATGCACTTTTGTACGTCTTTTATACATGAATGTGTCCCCGGTGTGTCAGGGAACTCACCAAGTGTCAGAAAACACAACCCTCTCTCTTTTTCTCCTTACCCAAATCTCTAAAAACGGGGCTGCAACGGATCTGATCCAGATTTGAAATATCTCTGACGTCAGAAACAAGGAGCTCCGCCTATATGGGCAACTCTCCACCTATCAGGGGAATGAGAGGTTGGGCCACGAACGTGTCCGTTCACACGAGACCGCTCGAAAGCGCTGGGGACGCTGTAGTACATATGCCAGGCCTGTAAGTGGCGCTGCAGTCACAGAATCAGCCCCTGCAAAAACTGTGCTGGAATAGAGCAAATAGAGCGAATGAGGCATGGACTAAAATGCATGATCTGTTTGGTATTTTGAAAAAAAAACTTCACAGACATGTTTTATATAGGTATGGCCCTACAATATATTATTAAAATATAGCATGATAGGTCCACTTTAAATATCTAATTTGCCAAATCCACAGAAATAATCCCTGCTTTCTCTCTCTCAGATATTCCTGTTTGCAGATGAGCTACCCTTATTTTACCAGAGACAAACAGCAACAATACTTGGGTTGGCTTGTGAGGTTTCCTTTTCACGAGAATCCATAGAATGTCCAAACTGTTAACTGTCTGTCTCCTTTTCTTTCACAGATACCTTTGCCAGTAAGGTGGCAGCTACCCAGGATCAGTATGCAGATGCATCCATTGGAAATGTGACAGGCTCTAATGCTGTCAATGTTTTCCTCGGCATCGGGGTGAGTCCCACTCATTAAAAGATAGAAGGATAGAGTGATAGATAGATAGAGTGGTAGAAAGATAGATTGAGTGATAGATAGATTGAGAGATTAAGTGACTTTACCGATTGTGTGATTCATCGCTGGTATAAATCCAGTTGTTGTTCCTTATGATTTACATGTTCGTTTTTGAGTGCTTACATTTAATGCCTCCACCGTTATAAAGAACCATGTCACTCAGTTTGATTGTGATGCTTGACAGGTGGCGTGGTCCATCGCAGCCATTTACCATAACAGCAGAGGGGAGGAGTTCAGGGTGGATCCGGGCCAGCTGGCCTTTTCCGTCACGCTCTTCACTATCTTTGCCTTTATCGCCGTCGGCACGCTGATGTACCGACGGCGGCCAGATATCGGTGGAGAGCTCGGAGGGCCCCGGACGGCCAAGGTCCTGACCACCATGCTGTTCTTCAGCCTGTGGCTCCTCTACATCCTCTTCTCCTCACTGGAGGCCTACTGCCACATCAAGGGCTTCTAAGGTGACAGGAGATGACGAAAGGGAAAGGTGGGACAGGAGGAGAACATGGAAGGAGTGGAGGAGGATGAACGTATGGATTTGGAAATGATGGCTGTCTCATTGATCAATCACTCCCTCCCTTTACGCAAGACTGAATGCCAGATGAATGGATGGATGTACAGATGAAGAAATTAAAGAGGCATTAAAGTATCTATAAACATACCTGAAGGAAATACGGATGCATGGAAGGGCAACGACAAACAGGAAAATCAAAAGGAGCAAGAGAGATAGCTCAGAAGATGGAAGAATCGCAGAATACACTTAAGAAGAAGTTTTTTGTCTTGATCTATAATCCAAACCAATCAAGTTGTCTTAAACCCAAACCCATTTCAAATACATAAACCCAAAACACCTACAATGTGTCAATGCTGGATCGACTATACAGAAACGAAGAAAATGAGGTTCAGCAAAACAAGGAGGTTAAAGAAGACCAATCTCACAGCTCCTCGGATATGTGGCTTTAACAACCGAAATCCCATTAATCCCCTCCAGTCGGAGCGATGCTATTCCCCCGTCCAATTAGAGTAACAGGCTTGAGTGTGACCGGAAAGGACAGACTAACTTTATTAGTGTGAACATGCATGGACAGACAATACTGGAAACACAATCAGAAGAAACCGGATGTATTGCCACAACTGTTTAATGACAACAAACTGTGCGTGCTGGTGTGTGACTGTGTTTCTGTGCTTGTGTGCTGTGGGAAGATGGTCCAGTACTGTGAAAAAAGCCCGCCTCTCTTTTTGCTGTCGCTGCGTGAGACTGAATATGCTTTCGTATTCAAGGTCTTTTTGACTCCCACTCTCCCAGCCTGTAGAATTGCTGACTCTTTTTGCGGGGAGGCCGCGTTTAATGATATCAAATGTTTTGAACATCGCTGAGAGCTGAGCGTACATTGCAGCTCCACAATTTTCCTTCTGAATGTCTTGGTTACGCCATACGCTCTCGAACAGGCCATCTTTCTGTTGCTTTATACAGTAGGTGTAAATGATTTAAGGTCTAATATGAATCAAGAAGGGGTTAGTGTGCTTTTACCTTTAATAAGGCCGTGTCTGAGAAGACAAAATGGCCGCTTTACCGTTTAAAACTGTTAGAGAAACTATAATCATTGCATAAATATCTCGGTAAATCTTGTGTGTTTTTGTTGGGGTCTTCTTAAACTGTGGAATTCTTTTACATGATTTTCCACCTATGAGATTCCCGCCATCATGTGTCAATCGTAACATTGCAAAAGACTTTCAAAAGTAGGTACCGCCCTCTGTGATACTCATAGTTTGCTTAACTGCCTCCGCCATTGTGTTTCTAACATTGATGCCGCTTTCCCATTGGTTCACTCAAACGCTTGTGTCGTTATCCCTGTGTGTCTTAAGCACCTCCCCCTGGCTGGTCAGTGGACCAATCAAAATCCTCAAGGGCTTTGTAAGAAACAACCACTAATCTGTTACCCTGACCCTTGATGTGTTATTCTTCACCTAGATTGGTCTTTTGGGGGCAATTTAACAGGGATTTGTATTCCATAGCATTACACACCACCTGCTCAGATGTTAGGACCTATATTCAGCTTATCTTAAAAAAAAGACTGCATGAAAAAATTGTCCGACCAAGTTAGATACATTTTGGCAAAAGCGACCCAAGGATCCAAAGTTCTCTGTCGGACAGGACTTTTCCCAGTTCATTACAAAGACTTCCTATATATTGTACCCAGCCTTATTCCAAATTAACTCATACATCTTCTTTCCCAGGCTGCCTCCACCCTAACTCTTAAAGAAGATACAATACTTCAGGTATGTGGATGATTCAGGCCTCAATCCAAAGGAACTAATGAACATCTGACTTTATATTTTGTCTCTTTTTTCAAAGCAATGCGTTTGCTCTTGACTGAAGAAACATTATGTAATTCAATGATTCATGCCAGCTTGGAAACCAACTCTTAAGCCGTCAGATGAAGGAATAGATA